GCGTCCTGGGCCTCGGGACTGTGGGCTACGCTGGCGCCGTAGCGGAGCAGGAGCTCAACGACCTCGAGGTTTTCCGAGGCCATGGCGAGAGGTAACGAGGCGTCGAGGGCGAATGTGTCGGCGTGAGGCAGCAGGACCCTTACCATGTCGGTCTGGCCGTTGTGGATGGCGTGCTGCAGCAGCTTGCTGCGCTCACCAAAGCTGTCGAGGCTCCTGCGGCGGAGCAAGATGCTGCTCGTCTTGGCCTTCTGGGCCATGTTGACGTCGCCGCCGGACGAGACGAGCATCTCGACGAGGGCCTGGGCGACGCCGGGCGACCCGCGGTCGGCGACATGCTTGTCGAGGGCGTCGAACACGAGCTTGTAGTCCCACGTCTTCTTCTTGGAGGTGAAGGCGCGGCGGATGTTAGTGGTGGAGTCTGTCCGGCCGTGGACGAGCTGCTTCCGCTTCAGCAGCTCCTCGGCCTTTGCGTCGTCCTCGACGGTCCGGAAGCTGGGGGGGCTCGAAGGCCGGGTCAGCGGCGTCGGCGACGGCGGGGGCTCGAGGCCCCATTCCTCGGCGAACTGGATGATGCGCCGCTGGCGGTCATCCGCGGTCGGCGGGGTCGGCATCGGGGGGCCGAGTGGCGACGATAGGAAGGGCGACAGTTTGGCGATGTGAGGGCGGGCGGCGAGGTGCCCTTTATGGAGCGAAGGAGGGTGGGATGAGAGTCAGTGTGAGAGTGAGAGTGAGAGTGAGCGACGAGCGAGCAGCCTCGTGAGATGAGGTCAAGCTAGGAGGTGTGAGGCAAGGCAAGGCTAGGCTAGGCTAGGCCGAGTGAGAGAGTGAGAGAGCGAGAGAGCTAGAGGGAAGAGAGGAGACGTGCGGCCCAAAGTTTCGGTTTCGTCTGAAGCTTGTTGGACACTCACGGCAGACGGATAGCGGAGAAGACGGCCCAGGCCCGGGTGCGACGGTACGGGGGAATGGCATGAACTAGGGGCGGGCGGGGGTATGAGAACAAGCATCCAGGATCGACGCGGTTCACGGCAGGGTGACGAAATGGAACGACACGGTTGTATCCCAACAGAGGATGGGAAACAATGCAGAGAGGATAGGTGATGGCGCGTCGTCTCGATGGTTGAGGGCCGTTCGAGCAAAGAAGCTTCCGGCCTGGGCTCGCGAACGTTCTGGGCCCTGCCGACACAGCCGGGCTGGTCTCGTTAAAGATAAGAAGAAGAAAAAGAAAAAAAAATTAGGGGGGAAAAACGGTCAGACCAAATGCGGATGGGAAACTAGTCGCAGCGTGAGCAGCAGTGGCCAGCCCGCCGTGGCTATGTGAGAACGAGGAAACCAAGAAACAAGCAGCGAGCGACTCGCGGGAACTCAGATACCGGTACTGTTGCAAGGGAAAAGTCGAGTCGGCGCGGAAAAGACGTGTAAGGCTGACAAAGGTTTCGGTGATGAGTGTGTGCTGGGTAGCCTGGGAACCCTCCTCGGGTGCGGTGGCGACAATGCGTCGCGTTTCAGCAGAGTGGAGCGGCAGGGCGGTTTTCGTCTGTTTGACCCTGTCTTGTCTCCTTTGCCGGGTTCCTTTAACGACACAATGTCACGACGGGGGGGGGAGGGGGACAGATCGGGGAGAGACAGCGTAGGTAGTTTGACGGCTCGGAGGGATGGGCTAGGTCTCGAGGTCGGACGGTTGGCGGGCCAGGGCCGTGACGGCGAACAGGATAGAGAACGATCAGAGTCGCTCTTCTTGGTGCTGTTCGTGATGGGACCGGACCGTCTGATGCCAATTAGGGGGAGCGAGTATCCGTAGAGAGTAATTACCAGTGTTGCACTCGTATTCGCGGTGAAGAAAAGCTTGGATGGCTAGGGCCATCTGTCCTCTGGAAGTGGAGAATGGTAATCAACGACGTCGAGGACACCGGAACAGCTGCCGTAGTCTGCAGGGAGGCGAGAAACGGGTGGCTGCGCGTGTACGCCGTAGCAATCAACGGTGAGCCAAGAACCCGACGGCGGCGCGACGGCGGGCGTGTGGCAGGGCATACGATGTTACGCGGACACGAACGCCGATCCTTGGCGCGCCAACGTGGAAGGGAAGCCGGACGGGAGGGGGGGCGGAGGGCAACGCGGCCAGACAGGGAAAGGAATAGATTCGTTTCCGCCGAACGTGGTTGGAGGATAAGAGCATGCGAATGCCCTCAAGAGCTTGGCCGCCACCGAGGAGGTCTGTCTGTCTGTCTATCCATCCGGGTAGGACAGACTGATATATGATGGTTTATTCGCAGCCAGCAACACAATCAATCATGCTCCTTCGCCCCCTCCAGTGAGGCGGCATGGACGTGTAATAGTAGGTATTGTCCTAGTGACATGCCGAGGCCACCCAGGAAAGTTTCCGGGAGAGCGCCTGATGGGACCAAAGACCACCAATCCTCCACCAGCAGCTCCTCGAGTTCCGGGGAACGACGAGGACCAGCCGTCGACTTATTTTGGTCCGCCCGATCGATGAATGGCCGAGATATGACAGGCCGTCTGTACCACGTACAATGAATGTAGTAAGGGAGAGGCGGGCAAGATACAGATACGCTTTGTGACGCCAAACCCCTGACCCTGACCCCTGGGAGAAACGGCCTCCAAGCAAAGTTGGGCATCCGTGGGTAGTAAGTAGTAGGTATTAATTCGTAGTCTACGGAGTACGGATAGTCGGATACACAGCAGATAATTAACACGCTCGCACTCTGTTCAGATACGTGCATGCACCCGACAGCTGCGAGATGATGCGCCCCCCTCCGGTCCTGGATCGGTACAAAAGCATACGGACAGCTGTGAGAGCAGTTCAAACTGCTGCTTCCATGGGTTTTCCTTTTCCCACATCGGGGGGCGTCGTCGTGGGCATTCTTACACGGCCACTAAAAGGGGGAAACCAGATCCACAGACGGGGGCCGTAGGTAGTTGGGCCCCCCACCGTCCCCTCTCGACCGAAACACTCCCACGGGAAACCAAACGCACACGGGTACGGCGCACACGCGAAACGCCTCGCCAATGGCAGAGGGCGCATGGCCGCAGACGACGACGACGACGACGACGACGACGCGCAGAAGCCAAGACGGCTGAGCCTCAACTGCAGACGCCACTGATGGCGACCGATGCCTCTCGAGAGGTGGGGTTATTAGAGGAGGGGGGGGGGGCGTATGCGCGCTAGTAAGTAACCAGTTCGAGCATCACCCGCGAGCCATTACGGCCATATGAAGGACTCGGAGAGAGGACCTGGGGGCCGGACGGAAGAGAGCACCCATCAATTGGGTAGTGTAACGAGTCCAATCCGCCTGGCGATCATCCGGCACGCATCGCTGCTGCTGCCGCTCGACGTGGCGCTCTGCGGGTGACTATCGGTAGCTTCCCCAATGCTGTTGAAGGCTGGAGGAGGGAATATGCCGGTTCCCTTTCACTCGGCAACCCCTCTCCCCCCACAAAGGCCGCGACAGCTTCTCCCCCATATCCGCAGCCGTACCCATAGACGCAACGCCAGAAACCCGCTGTGTCGAACTCGAGAACTTAGCAACTTAGCAATGCCGGTGATGGGAAGGGGAGAGGGGGGGAGTGAAAGGGAACCGCAGGAAGAGGAACCAATCCAGGGAGAGGTCTGAGTCTTTTTTTTTTCTTTCCTCTCTGCGCGGCCGCATGTTCGTGCCAAGCTAACGACGAGTGACTTGAAATTTACACCACACTCGAATATATATCTATATCTATATATACATGTATACGGGAGATGCAATTCATCAATGGGTCGGGCGATTGGGAACAGATTTCATTGGGAAGGACGGGCAAATACAGCCACGATACGATGAGTGCCGAATGGAGCGGCTAGTGGTCGAACCGGTTCCAGCACATGTCAAAGTATCGGCCCGGATCATTCGAATTCTGAGATTGACGGAGACGGCAACGAATATCGGTTTGGTCCTTCTCGTCCGTCATCTGTGGTCCAAGCCCGCTGTTCAGCCGTCTCATATATTGGGGGCTTCCTTCAGTTCACCACGGACAAATGCGGCCAGGGAGAAGAATTACAGGGTGAGCCGGCAGCCAAGCTCGCTCACTCACTCACTCACTCATAGGCAATACCGAAGTATTCGTACTTTAAATAAGTCATCTATCTCATCGGGGCAGGTGGGGCTTGGCTCATTCTCGCAAGTCGCCAAAAAATGCACATGGCATTCATTGACTGACAATGGGGCGTAAGACGTCTCTCTCATCATGAGATTGAATCGTCACTCCGCGTCTTGTTTGTGCGCTCTCATCTCGTGACCGTTTCCTGCCCCAAAGACAGTCTGACCTGATGAGTCGAGAATGAGACAGACGCTCAGTCGTGGGATGAAAGCCAAAGCACTCACTCACTTCTCCAATCCCATATGCTCTTGAACCACATCACATCACATCACATCAAATCATATCACGTCGTTCCGGTCTTCGGAGCCACCCCCCGCTTTCCCCTCAATCCTTCAGCCGAATATTTCGGGATGCCTCCCCCTTTCGCCCCGCATCACACAATGCTGTCCCGCGAGAAACCGTCCTCGTCCGGGTTATGGCATGGGTGCCGGTGCCGTTTGCAATCACGCCTTCGCAAGAGCCCCTCTTCGTCTGGAAACATGGCTAACCTTACTGGCTGTCTCTCTCTCTCTCTCTCCATCCGGCTTCCGCTTACTCTCCCCACTCGCATCGGAAGCCGGGCACGCATTAACCAAGGCAAAGAGAACCATCGCGACACAAGCTGATTACGTGTTTTCCACTAGTCGGCCTTTGCCCAAATGTACATGCCCACGAACAACATCTCGAGAACTTTCTCATCCTCATCTACCCTCGTCACAACCCTCCCGAGACTCCTGACCTCAACCCAAGCCCGCACCAACGCTCGCATCGTCCCCCATCACCGCGCACACGCACCCCGCCGCCCGTTCCGCGTCTCGATACCCCGCCTCCGCCCGTCTCTCTCTGCCGCCGCCGCCCCTCGCCCTCACTTCACAATGGCGCCCATCCCCCAGACCATGAACGGCGTCCAGATCAGCCGCACCGGCGGCGTCGAGGTCCTCGAATACCGCACCGACCTCCCCGTCCCCGCCCTCGCCGAGGGCCAGGTCCTCGTCCGCAACGCCTACGCCGGCGTCAACTTCATCGACACCTACTTCCGCACCGGCCTCTACAAGGCCCCGCTCCCCCTCACCCTCGGCCGCGAGGGCGCCGGCACCGTCGTCGCCGCCCACCCCTCCGCCGCCGCCGACGCCTTCAAGCCCGGCGACAGGGTCGTCTTCATGGGCACCGGCTCCTACGCCGCCTACTGCGCCGTCCCCGCCGCCTCGCTCGTCCGCGTCCCCGACGCCGTCACCGACGACCAGGCCGCCGCCGCCCTGCTGCAGGGGCTGACGGCCTGGACCTTCGTGCGCGAGGCCGCCGAGGTCGAGCCCGGCGAGTGGGTCCTCGTGCACGCCGCCGCCGGCGGCGTCGGCCTGCTGCTCGTCCAGATGCTCCGCGCCGTCGGCGCAAAGGTCATCGCCTCCGCGAGCACCGACGCCAAGTGCGCCCTCGCCCGCGACAACGGCGCCGAGTGGACCGTCAACTCGTCCGAGCAGGACCTCGTCGCCGAGGTCGCCCGCATCACCGCCGGCCACGGCGCCGACGTCGTCTTCGACGGCATCGGCAAGGCCACCTTTGACGGCGACCTGCAGCTCGCGGCGCGCAAGGGCCGCCTGGTCATCTTTGGTAACGCGGTAAGTTTGGCCCGACGGGATCATCATCGTCAACAGGAAAAGACGGGAAAAAAAAAGAAAAAAAAAAGAGCCACTGGAGCGTGAATTTATTTAAATGCGAATTTTTTTTAATTTTTTTTGCTGACCTCGAGACACAGTCCGGCGCCGTACCCCCCTTCGACATCCTCAAGCTCGGCCAGAAGAACCTCAAGATCATGCGCCCCGTCGTCAACAACTACACCGCCACCCCGGACGAGCTGGCCAAGTACAGCGGCGAGCTGTTCGACATGATCACCTCGGGCAAGCTCAACATCGCCATCCACAAGGTCTACCCCATACAGGACGTCAAGTCGGCGCACACCGACATCGAGAGCCGCAAGACGACGGGCAAGCTCATCCTCAAGCACGAATAGCCGAGCGACTGGGAATGAATGGTGCGACCGCGACCTCACGGGGACGTGAAGGCAACAACAGACAGAAAAAAAAAAAGAAGAAAAAAAAAAAGAAATGGCAGCTGGGACTTGCGGTGATGCGGGTCTTGCCATCTTGAAACTTCTTTTTGTTCTTTTTTCTTTTTTCCTTCCTCCTCCATTAGATTTCCTCTATAAGGGTAGACGTCGTATCGTGACTTTCGCTGCAAATAACACTAACATCTATCATCTTCTATCATGACCTATTAAACCTTCTTTTTTGTCAAGGTGCGGCCGGGGCGTGGATGCGGTCATTCAAATCTCCTCCTCCTCCTCCTCCTTCTCAACCACTGGTGGGCTTGGCGTTGGCGAGGAGCTCGGGGGGAGGATCCTGGCGGTAGCCCTTGGGGTTGTTGCTGACCCAGCGCCAGAGGTCCTCGCAGGCCTCCTCCAACGTCTTCTCCGTCTTCCAGCTGAGCTCCTTGTTCGCCAGGGATGGGTTGGCCGTGAGGTCCAGCACGTCACCCTGGCGTCTGGGGACGACCTCGTAGGGGAGGTCGCGGCCGACGACATGGCCGAAGGCCTTGATCATCTCGAAGACGGTGCTGCCACGGCCCGAGCCCAGGTTCCAGGCCTTGACGCCCGGCTTGTTCTCGCGGAGGTAGTTGAGCGCGGCCAGGTGGCCCTTGGCCAGGTCCACGACGTGGATGTAGTCGCGGATGGCGGTGCCGTCTCTCGAGGCGTAATCTGCTCTCGTCAGCATCATCTCCTCGACCCTGTCCAGTTGTCGCACGTACCGTCGCCGAAAACGAGCAGCTTCTCGCGCTCGCCGGTCGCAACCTTGCCAAGCAGGGGCAGCAGGTTGTAGGGGACGCCCTGGGGGTCCTCGCCCATGAGGCCGGACGGGTGGGCACCGCACGGGTTGAAGTATCTCAGTAGAGCGCCGTTGAAGTGCTCAAAGGGCTTGTCGGCCTTCTTCAGCTTGTTACGCTCGGCCTGGATGTGGTCCGTAATGATCTGCTCGACAAAGGCCTTGGTGTGGCCGTAGGTGTTGGTCGGGCCAATGGGGCAGTGCTCGGGGATGGGGATCATGTTCTCGAAGCGGGTGGCGTCGCCGTAGACGGTCGCCGAAGATGAGAAGACAATGTTGGGCACATTGTTATCCGTCATGGCCTGAAGCAGGGCGACAGTGCCGCCAACATTTACGCGGTAGTACTCGAGAGGGATCTCGCCAGACTCGCCGACAGCCTGCAGGGCGGTGCATTAGCGTCTTTGTCGAGGACAACGGGGTGGCATGAGTGCGAGCCTACCTTGAGTGCGGCGAAGTGGATGACACTGTCAATCTCAGGGTGTTTCTTGAAGACATCGTCGAGGCCGGCCTTGTCCGTTATGTCGACCTGGTAGAAATGGGGGCGCTTGCCGCTCAGAAGCTCGATCCGGTCCACGGCGACCTTGGACGAGTTGTAAAGGCTGTCGACAATGACAACATCGTAGCCGTTCTCGAGAAGGGTGAGGGAGGTGAAGGAGCCGATGTAGCCGGTACCACTGCAAGCCACCAAGACATGCGATTAGCTATTGCGCAGTTCGTAGCGTTGCGCCCGGCAGCGCCATGACAGCGGCAGTAGCTCGTGAGCGGCGGCCGCCAGAGCCCATGATTGTAGCTGGGACTGGTAGAAGCTTACCCGGTGACCAAGACAGTTCCAACGGCCATTGTGCAGGAAATTTGCTGGTGTCGATCGCAACTAGCTAGCCTGCGATGAGGGGTATTTGGGAATGGGGGACGACAGGCGGGCGAAGATCAGAAGATGCGGTCCGTCGGGGTATCAAGTTGGTGGTTTTTAGGAGCGCAACTCAGGTATATATGTGTGTGAGTGAATGTATGTTCGAGAAAGTCGCGGAACAGCGAGATATATATCTGATGATGGGGGCTGAAGCGGAATGATGCGAGCGACGGTCGCAATTAACAGAAAAGCAAATAGGGTCGTCTGTATGTAACGTTCGGCCTTGGACTATGATGCGGGAGAGAAATTGGCTCGGCTTAACTGCCAGTCATTTTGGGGCGATCTCGCAGCGGCCAATCTGGCGGCCCAGATTGGAGGCGATGGCGGGGTCTCGCAGCGGGGGTGGCACCAATATCAGGCCTTGTGGCTGGCTGCGGAGCTCAGTAATTTCATCGACGCCTCAGCCGGTGGTGCGCCCTGCTGATGACGGCTCGCCATGAAACCTGTAACGACCGGGGATCGCGGTGCCGTGGAGCCTGATCATCATGACTGCGGACGGGCCGACAGGGTTCTTTCCCAGCTCTTGCTCTCGACTCCCACGCTTGGCCGCCTTCTTGCCTTCACGTGGGTTGTTGTTAGTAGTAGGTACTTCGTGTAGGGGACTGTAGTTTATCTGCAGCGTACGTGTCGGATGTCGGGACTGGTGATGGATGGAAGGCAGACGGATGGTAAACATGCCATCTTGAGGGGACGCCGCGAGTCCAGTTCATGTTTGTCATCCGCGATGTTTGTTGTTGGTGTTCGCTATTTGCCGATGCAGCAAGGCATACCGGTCGGTCTTGGTCCGGTGCAGCTAGGGTCCCTCCCCAGCTGCCAGAGCATTCCATCATTCCAAGCGTCGGCGGATACTGCTGCAAGCCTGCACACTAGTTTGTTTGCTCCTTCATCGACTCGAGATCAAGATCAAAGTCCAAGCTTGAGCACAGGTGCCGCTTGTGCTTCGTCCTTCGGGTGACCATCAATGCTTCTGCTCGGCGCCAGCAGCGCTGACCGAGCCGAGTCTGGGCGTGCACAGCATCTTGTGATTTGTGACCACGACCACCTTGTTCTGCCCCGTCGGCCTCTCTCTCTCTCTCTCTCTCTCTCTCTCTCTCTAGAGTTCAGGAGGGGTCGGAAATGGAGGTGGGACTGGGCGGAAAGAGTGTGGATGACGCACATGGCATGGTGTACCTGGTCTTTTTTTTTTCCTTCTGGATTTTCCCCCGCAAGACATGCGGCCTCAGGTTAAATGAGTCGACTGATTACGATAGGGTCACGTGGTCGCAAGCTCAAGATGGCGATGGCTTACCTAAGGATGGCGCTGATGTAAGAGCGCAGACTCGCGCGGCGCGTAAAGCTGGTTGACTGAGCGCGTGGGCAACGGACAAACGCCCATGGCCCGTGCATCCCCGGCCACCGGTCTTTGGCGGTGCTATTGGCGGTGGGCCATTTGGCGGTGGCAGACCGTCCGTCGCGAAAACATTCCAAAGGCGCCGTGCTCCCAAAAGGCGAACGCTTCCAAGACCCGGCCACAAAGACTTGACGAACCCTCGAATCGCCCCTTGCTTTGCCTCTTTGCTGTCGCGGACTGTTGCTCTACACAACTGACAACTCAATTGACCCCCATTTGTCCTGCAACGGCAGCCCTCCTTGTTTCTTATTCTTCTCTCATCCCCCAACCTGCGCCTCCCCCATTCATCCATCCGACGCGCGCGTGTGGGCGCGACTTGTGCCAGGCAAAGATGGTCGTTGCGGCCAGGGACCGCTCCTCCTACCTTTGTTGACAACCGCCTCCCTCCCTTCCCGGTCCGGCGGGTCGGCCTCTTGGAATAGCCTCACTTTGAGATACGTCCTGCCACTTGATATTCCTGCAACCGGTCATAGCCAGCTTTCACAAAGGCGCCTTCAATACATTCATCCCACCGGCCTCCTCACCGCAAGCCCTTTACATCTCATCCTTTGGCTACCGGCCCCCCTTGTCGCTCAACGCAGCCTTGATGAGCATTTACATTGACTATTGTCTACGATACAAAGACTCCCAAATCACAACACGCTGCTTTACTCGGACTCATTCACAACCACAGCGCATGTCCACTCAACGAATAATAATGTGAGTTGGGCCTTGTCCGTCTCCTCACTCGCCCCTCTTTCCTTCCCTCAAACGCCCTTTCTCATCGCGCCTGCCGTCTGCCACTTGAGGCTTTTACTACTGTGGTGAACTTTTCACAATCTCAAGTTGCTTTGCCCATCTAACCTACTTTCAATTCTTCTTCTTCTTCTTCTTTTCCTTCTTTTTTCTTTTTTCCATCTCGCCTTCCATCAGATTCACTTGTCTCTTTCCCCTCCCCATCTCACCCGCCTCATTCAGAAAGCCTGCACCTCACGCGAGATTGAGTATTTTTCATATAAAACTCAACCTGTGGCCTCAACACCCACTCATCAGTCTCATAGATCTTCATTCCTCACATCGCGCCAAGATGCCTCCCAAGCGCAGAGTTCGTGGCGACGACGATGACATGCCCGTCATATCACGGGGCGGTGCTGCAGTTACCTCTAGCCTGCCTCCGTTGGCTTCTCGGCTAGACACGTCGTACGGGTCTGCGCCCTCGACTGCTTTGCGCAATACTCGACGAGGCCAGAGGCGTGATTTGCAGGCCATCATTAAGGAAACACTCCACGACAGCGACGACCCTGATGACCCAGACGACGACGACGATGGCAATGATGACGATCTAGACGGCGATGACGGCCGTAGTGAGCGCAGCAGGAGCGCCAAAAGCGACCACCTGCCACCCAAGAAATCGCCCACTCCTAAACCAGTCCCTCGACCTAGACCTGCACGCAAAGTTCAACCAGCCCCCAATCCTGGTCCGGACCCGGATCTCGATTCCGAGCATGATTTCGGCCCCGGGCGAGGCTCATCCGAGTCGCCCGAACCGCCAAGAGATCCGTCACCAGACCCGGCCATTGCTCAGATCTCACCGAGACAACGCCTGCTCCCTAGCAGAATCGGTAAGCACAGCTTGAGGCGGTCCATTCCCTCCCTCACCGCCGTCTCACTTCCCTTGCTAAATCCTACCCCAGGTCCATCGGGCGAACATCACCAAGGCGCGCCTGCTCCTCGTCGGCGAGTTTTGCCCGATGTTGCTCCCCCTCGAGGCCCGAGTCCATCGCCACAGCAGCCTTCGACACAAGGCGCAGCCTCCAAAGGCCTTGCACCACCAGCCCCCACCAGCCAAGGTCTGTCTCCATCCAAAGGCACCACCTTGGCTCCCAGCTCGCGGTCTGTCTTTGCGCGCGTCATTTCCGAGGAGCCTGCGGAACCAATGCCCACGCTCGAATCAGTCCGCAGTTTTGGACAGGAGAGTTCCCTCTATGGGGGAGCTGCTATCGGGTCAACTCCATCTCGGCTTTCCCTCTCGCCTGAGGAGTCAGAAGAAGAATCTCCCCTGTTACCGAGACCGCCACGTAGTAATCAGCCCGACCGGCTTCGGGGACCAGTACGAGACCCAATCAATGAGGTTGTTCATCGGCGTGAACCGCTAGACTTGCGCCAAGATAAACCGATCCGCCCATTACAGCCAGAACCACCGAGCACACCTCCCGCTCAACGTTACCGACTTCAGAGTGAGTCTCCTCCCCGCGAATCCCCGGCTCGGTCTATTGCACGCCGTTCTGTGGCTCGAGATTCGCCTCGCACCAACACCATCTCGCGTGCATTTTCGGCAGAGCCTGCTCCAATTTCACCTGCGACCAGGTCAAGTTCAACGCGCCCATCAAGCCGGGCGGCTGAGTACTTGCCGACTGCGAACCGTTTCTCAACTCGCCTTACAAACCATGTTGATGAGGAAGAGTCCACTGTCAGACAAGAATTGAGAGGCCCATCGAACCGTGCCATCGAAGAGCCGTCCCATCTTGATCACGTATCTCGATCTCAACTCTCACCCCGCCCACCACTGCAACAGGCCAGCCCCAGCCCAGCCCGTCGAAATGTGTGGCCGCCCGCCTTCAACGAGAAACAAGCAGCAGCCCGACGTTTGCTCGACCACCCACCGCCTGTCAACATTTTCGCCCCACGTCCCGGCAGAATGGGAGGTCGCTCGGCGGGACCCTCCACAGCCAAACAGCCCATCGAAGATAGGGACAGCCGCTCAGCCATTGGACAAAGCAGATCGGGCTTGTTCGACTCCAGCATGCAAGAAAATATTCGGCAAGAGCGGGAGCACGAGAAAGCTCAACAGGATGCTCTCCGGAAGGAGCGAAACGCTCGTTTGCAAGCGTGGCCGCGGATCTACAACACGGTGTACAGCTGGACACATGCTCCACGCCCGGACAGCCCGCCTCTAAGAGACGAAGATCCTGATGATTATGACAGTCCCATCGAAGCTCCGCCACAGGTTCCTTTGAGCGAGTCCTCCTGGTCAACTTGGATTTTGTTCAAGCTTGCCGACACGTTTGTGGACGTTCTCAATTTCCTCTTTTCGCCGCATTCTTGGCATATCAAGGCTTTGGTCGGCATCTTGCTGGTCTCTCTACTTGGCTGGGGCGCCATGACCGGCCTCAACTCGGCCCCAGCCCTGGGACTGGGCGGCATTCAGTGGTACGGCCTATCGGACATATCTCACAATCTTGGGCAGTTCGTCCCGCTGTGGATGTCTCGGCCAACTACCATGTTCAGTGACGAAGACACGAGAGAGTACATACGACAGCAACGCAACCACGAATATGAACTTTCCAAGTTGACCAAGGCCAGCAAGCTTCACGAGGGCTCATTATCCCGACTAGAGGAGATTGTGCCCAAAATCGTCCACATGACGTTGGACAAGCATGGGCGACCTGTCGTAGGAGAGGAATTCTGGCATGCCTTGCGCGACCTGATGAAGAGCGACACGGAAATATTGACCATGGACAGAGGAAGTGGCGGATACCACTTCATTTCCGAAGAGCACTGGCGGGCCATCAAGCACAGGCTCAATAAGGACCCCGTGTACCAGAGTGCTGCGTCTCCGGCGGCACCTGGACCCTCCACCGCCGAGATTGAGAAGATTGCTCAGACCAAGTTCGACAAGTCTTGGGAGAAATGGCTCAAGACGAATGACAAGCAGGTGGCCAAGATTCTCGAACCGGCCCTGGCGACATCCGTGCCAGATAAGATCGGGAAGGATCTTGAGTCCAAGATTGAGAAAATCGTCAAGGACCGGTTCAAGAACACGGACGCCAAGGACGTCGTCGTCACACGCAACGAGTTCATCCGCCATCTCAAAGGCGAATTCGCTGCCCACCGTAACGAGGTGAAGGCTGAAGCCCTGGAGTTGCAGAAGAAGCTGGAACATTATGTCAACCAAGCCATCAAGTCCGCCTCGCAGCAGACCCCGCCTGCGGGCGTTTCCCGTGCCGAGATGGTCCAAGCCGTTGACGGCATGATACGCCAGGCCATCGCAAATGCCGGCCTAGAGGCCCTCGCTCAGGGCAAGATCGGGGCCAAGTGGGACCGAGAACTTCGGCATCAAGTCAACTTCCTCGGCCGTCACACCGGCGTCACCATTGACCCCGGCCAAACCACCCCCGACTACAACCCTCCCGTCCGAGGTAAAATTTGGAGCTCTACCTGGTTCAGCGGGACTAAGCGAGGACCGGAGAAAGCTCCCCCGGCTGCGTCTGCTACACTGTGGAGCTGGGAGGACGAAGGCGATTGCTGGTGCGGCAGGGTGACTGTGGACAAAGAAAGGGGATTTGAAGTCGGCGTCAGTGTTGGCTACCTCCTCGCGCACCAGATCATTCCACAGCACGTCGTTGTCGAGCACATCCTGCCCGGCGCCACGCTGGACCCCAACGCCAGGCCCAAGCAGATTGAAGTGCTGGCCTATTTCGACGAGCTCAACACCCGCAATCGCGTCATGGACTTTTCGACCGCTCATTTTCCCTCCAGCGAGAAGGTTCTCAGGGATGGCTGGGTCCGCATCGGCCGCTTCACGTACGAAAGCAGCGACGCGCTCAACGGCGTGTACGTCCACAAGCTCAGCCCCGAGTTGGTGTCCATGGGAGCCGTCACGGATCACGTTGTCCTCCGAGCGGTCAACAACTATGGCTCTGACCACACGTGCCTGTACAGGGTGCGTCTGTACGGCGAGAGGGCATGATCACACGCGTCTTCGAAAGAAGGGGGGGGGAGGGGTTATTTGGCCGATGGCAAATGTTTGGCATCCGGCGTCCTGAGTTCCCTCGAGTTTTGGCTTTAGCATGATTTTAGCGTGGGCAGGACGGATCAGTTGGAATCATTTATTCAGCATTCCCGGAAGAAAAGGGATGGAAACACTTTCATGGCGTTAGGGGTCGACGATACCCTCCCGGGCTTCTTTTGATGCAGCAGATTCCCCGTTTAGGCGGAAAGAAGAGAAAGCAACAATTTTTTAATAGACAATGTTTATTTACCATTTCGCTTCCTCGATGCCGGTGTATAATGAACTGAAAAAAACAATGTACCCCCCCATGAGTTTACTCTCATAGAAAAAAAGAAAAGAGAACAAACCAGACAAAAAGTACTTTTTTTCTCTTTTCCCATTCCTTCCTGCCTCCTGTGTGCGCGGGTATCTCATATCCTTTTTTTCTTAGTTCAGCAGTCCCGAGGCCAGGGCCTCGAGGTCCTCCAACGTCTCGGGTTCGCGGTCGATCTCGAGCACCTTGCCGCCCTTCTTGGCCTTCTTCCTCGTCTCCCTCTCGTCGTCCGAGTCGTCCTGGAACCACTTCTTGGGCTTCTTCTTCGGCCGGCCGTCCTCGCTGTCGCTGTCGCCGCCGCCGCCGCCGCCGCCGGCGATCGGCAGCGACCGCAGCAGCGCCAGGGGATCCTCGTCCGTTTCGCCGCCGTCCACGCGCGGGCCCTCGACGGGCCTCGGCGCCCCCTCGCCGCGCTCCTCGGCCTCGCGCGCCTTGCGCTTGAGGCGCTTCTCCTTGAGGCGCTCCTTGGCGGTGGCCTTGTCCTCGACGTCGGCCTCCCTGACGCGCGCGGCCTCGTCGGCGACGAACCTCTGCCGCAGCTCCTCGGCGGGGCCCTCGCGGCCAAAGTCCTCCTCGTCGCGCAGCTCGTAGATGGGGTGCGCGTTGCCGTCGTCGTCGAAGACGAGCTTCTGGCCGCGGCCCTTGAACTTGAGCATCTTCTTCTTGGACTTGAGCGCCTTCTCGCGGCGCTTCGAGTCGACGACGAACTGCTGGTCGCCGTACGTGATGACCTTGGGCCGGCCGCCGGGCGCGTTGCCGGACTCGGCGTCGAGATCGTCGTCGCCGAGGACGCGCTTGACGGAGAGGAAGTCGTCGTTGTCGTCGCCGCCGCCGCCGCCGCCGCCGCCCGCGGCTCCCGTGTCGCCCGTGACCTCGTCGCCGTTGGCCACGAGCTTGGTGTAGTGGCCCGAGAGGACGTCCTGGTTCGTGCGCTCGAACATGCGGTCGTACTTTGTCCGGACCTCGGGCTTCTTGGGCTTCTTGGGCGCGTCCGGGTCCTCCGTCTCCGAGTCCTCGTCGCTCGACATGCCCCTACGCGGCGCGTTCTTGATCTTCTTGATGTCCTCGCCCTTGCGCAGCTTGATCTGCGGCGCTCCGGGGAGCCCGAGGCTGGCGGCGTAGGCGTCGAGGTCGAGCTCGTCGAATTTGAAGACCTCCTTGTCCTTCTGCAGGTAGACGGAGCGTACGTAGCTGATGAAAGCCTTTTGGCCGAGGTACTTGAGGTCCGGGTTCTGGAAGCACATGCTCTGCAGCTGGTCCTTGATGCTCTTCTTCTTGCTCTCCTTGACGGTGATCTTCTGGACGGGCACCTTCTTGGCCTCGAGGCGCTTGAGCATGCCGGCCTCCTCGCTGGGGTCGAGGAAGAGGACGGCCTTGCCGTCCCGCTCGTAGCGCGCCGTGCGGCCGACGCGGTGGATGTAGGTGTCGGCGTCCTCGGGGCAGTCGACCTGGACGACCCAGTCGACGGCGGGGAAGTCGACGCCGCGGGCGACGACGTCGGTGGCGAACAGACACGAGTGGTTGGCGTCGGCGAAACGCTTGGTGATCTCCATGCGCTGGAGCTGCTTCTGCTTGCCGAGCAGGTGCAGCAGCGGGATGCCGGGCTGCAGGTGCCTCATGCTCTCGTAGGCGAAGCGGACCTGCTTGCCCGAGGAGAAGAAGACTATGATCTTGCTCCGCAGGTTGGCCTTGATGAAGCCGTAGAGGGTGTCGAGTTTCTCGTGCAGGGGCGTGACGATGTAGTGCTGCTGCAGGTTCTTGGGCGTCGATTCCTCGTGGACGGAGACGTACTCGGGGTCGCGGAGGCTGAGGCGGGCCAGGTCGGATATCTTCTTGCTCTGGGTGGCGCTGAAGAGCAGGGTCTGGCGGGTGGCGGGGAGGTGCTCGATCAGGGCGTCGACGGCGGACTGGAAGCCCATGTCCATGATGCGGTCGGCCTCGTCGAGCACGAGGATCTGCAGGTTGTCGACGTCGAAGCCGGCCGTCTGGTCGAGGTGCTGCAGCATGCGGCCGGGGGTGCAGACGAGGATGTTCATCTTGGATAGGCGCTCGGCCTCCTCCTTGAGGCTCTTGCCGCCGATGACGAGGCCGGCGGAAAAGCTGTGGTTGCGGCCGACCTTGCGCAGGACCTCGAAGATCTGGGCGGCCAGCTCACGGGTCGGGGAGATGATGAGGGCGCCGAGACCGTCATACTCGGTCCACCGCGCGCGGTAGAGCTTCTCGAGGACGGGGATGACGAAGGCGAGCGTCTTGCCGCTGCCCGTCTTGGCGGCGCCGAGGATGTCGGAGCCCTTGAGGGCGAGGGGCAGGGCGCGGGACTGGATGTCGGTCAGGGTCTCGAAGTGGGACTTGTCCAGGCCGGTCCTGGTCGCTTCGCAGAGGGGGAGGTCGGAGAAGTTTTTGTATTCGCTCTTGAGGTCCTGTTTGGCGCGGGCTGTGGTCAGTGATGCTGTTCGCACGCGGAGGGTGACTTTGGGGGGCGAAAGCGCGTCTCTTACAAAGTCGGCGACGGCCTTCTCGAGTTGCTCGATGGTCTGCAGCTGTTGCTTGCGCTTCTCGAGTTTCGTGTCCCTCTTGAGGACCTTGGATTGCTTCTTCCTGGGCCCCTTGACGGGAGCCTTTGTGGGGGTAGCCATCTCGGCGCGGTGCTCTCGTGTGCTTTCGCGTGTGTACGTGCGTGTGTCGAGCTCACGATGGCGGTTATCTTCGTCGGATTTCCAAAGTTTCTTCGCAGGCCGCTGCCGGGAAATTTTTTGGACTCTCGCTGCTGCGGTGGAGAGAATGGTTCGGCATTCGGCGACAGGGGACGCCGCGGTGGGGTTGACTTGGTGGCTGACAGCTGTCACCAGATGTAGAGTGATGGAACGCTCCTCTTACAATCTGTCACAATGAGGTGAAGTGATATAAGGCGTTAGTTGTGCTGTTACAACTAACGGCGTCGTTTTTACGTGACAGCTATAAACCTAGTTTGCGCTGTATGCCTTAATAGTATAGCCCTTAAGCTAGTGTCTAGGCTTTATAGACCCTGCAGGTTTAATTCCTGTAAAGGCTAGGACAAAGTGTCACAGGACAGTGCTAGCCACCTGCAAGGCCTTGACTGCAACTAGCAACACAACTGTTAAGGCCTAGGTAACAGGAGAAAGGTGAAAACAGCAAAGCATAATTTGGCTATATCGGACTGAAATGACTTTGGTAATGGCTAACCGCTGTCAATCAGCAAAGCGCTGGCCACTTTCCTTTTCCCTTCTATAGGCGTCAAACTGGGCCTTCTTCCGTTGCAAGAACGCCTCTTTCCCCTTCAGAATCGCACTGTCTAAAAGGGCCTCGCCCAAACCATCTTGATGTAACACCTCCCAGTAGATTTCGCTGATATCGAAGCTACTACGCGATGCAAGGTTGAACCAAAAGCGCCCGCTGTCCCAGGAGTCTCGCATGCGAGCCGAGAGACTTGTCTCATCTGTGGCCAGCCGTGCTTTGGCCTCGGCCCTCTCCATAGCCCGAATGAACTGCTCTTTCCGCGGCTGAAAAAGAGTCAAGAACTCTTGAAGTTTGCCGTCACCAATCCATACGGCCGGTTGTTCAAGCAACAGCCACCACGGCACATCATCAGCAAACTGTGCTGGCATGGCGTTGGTAAACTCAAAGTCGAGTACTGCGCTTATCTTAAGCGTTTCCGGATCGACAAGCATGTTCGTAGGCCTCAGGTCGTCACAAAAAAGCCTAAATGGCCCATTTTCGTTGGCAGTGCCATGTGTAGGGATTATATGTGCGAAACAATGTCGTGCTACAAACTCGTTCCAAGCAAGCTCTTCGTCATCAGCAGCGATGTTGCGCTGGGCCTCGAGGTGTACTTGAAAAGATTTGCCACGTGCAGCAAAGAAATGGCTAGCACAATCGAATGGCGCCGCTGAGTCGAGGCTGTCGGTTGGGTAGCCACCAAGAGTAACAACCTCGTTCATGTCGTACGTCAAGGGTCGTCTAGTAACCTCCCACTGACCAGACGTCGCGTCCTGGGATATGGCGCCAATGCGTGGGAAACGGTGATGCGACAGTTCCAGCATAAAGCCTGCTATCTGCTCATAGACGAAGTCGAGCTTTGCGTTGTCAATATCTGGGTCTAGAACTACTGCGTCTTCCTTGTTCTCAGTTGGTTGTTGTAGGAGGCCACTCAACTCCTGCCCTTCTACAAAATCCATAATAATAAATGGACCCAAGTGCTGCGGACTGTCCTCAGTGAGGCCCCAATCGCGCACAAAAGGAACCGGAATACTGGTTAGGTCGTGAAGATATTTCATAACCATCACTTCGTTCTCAACTTTTTCGTCTCGCCATGGCTCGTGTATTCTTCCAGGAATGGGGAAACGGATGATGACCTGCTCGTCGCTATCGGCACGTTGTACTTTGAAGCTTATATTGAAAGAGCCTTTCAAGAAACCATTATAGGAACCCGTCCCATTCCAATCGAGTCGTTTGTGGACGAAAGCAACAATGTCTTCTTTGGCGTCAATGAGACTGCAAGCAAAGGCATATTGAGCATCGCGAATGTTACTCTGTGCGATAAAGTCAAAGGGTGCCATACTGAGGGTATAGGATAGAAAGCTGAACTATGCCGAATGGTTTCTTGAATTATTTATCTAAGCTGGTGAGGGTAGGGATGGGGATTGGGCCCCACACCGCCTCTTAAGTCGGGAGGTTGGCGTACCGCCAGGTCGTCGATCTAACAGCCACCATTTGCTTACTATCCTTACAACAGATAACTATATATTACAATCCCTACAACTCAACAGATACTATCTATGTACACCTACAGTCTATAACCCGCCTGTATTGGATTACTTATGCTTTCTAGGATCCATCTACCATGCTAGACCGTTTCGGTATCTTCCGTTGACCGCGTCATAATACGAGTTGTTGCATTCCAGCTAGCTTAACCCGATTCTGTGCCCCTTATAGTCCGCAGTCAGGAACAAAGCGCGGCAGTTGGCAGGCGCACAGGATTCGTCGTATTAAATTACAACAATAGCAGAAGTCCCCGGCTATTGAGTCCCCGCATTGTCTAGCACAACAGCCGCGGCACTTGGGTTCATGCTCCGCGCTATACTATCGATTTTATCTTCGGCTCGTCCATGTTCGGAATTTTGATGCTTGGCCGAACCTGATCCACTTCAGGGCTCTAGTCACCAATCCTCTCTAGCGTGGCATATCACATCGTTCAAACAAAAGACCGGGAGGGCTGGAAAAGGAAGCGTTTGAACAAACTCGCAACTAGTATCGAGCTCGACCAGAATCACACAGCATTTGCTTTCTGACATATTTGAGTCGTACGGGAAAGACGGGAAATTCCTCTTTCGCTCAGCATAGCTTTGCATATAAGAGGATATTCATGGTCCTATCAAACCACAGGGCCTCCAGACTAAACGCCAATAGTTGCTCATCCCTTGCAGGCCAAGAGTTCATATCAGCCTGATCGTCGTCATTATTATCTACTCACTACACTGAAAATGAAGATGCAAATGCTGCTTCTTTCCTCAGGACTTTTCCCGGCTGTTTTGGCCCTCATTCTTGGCATTGGTAATGCTGTTTCGTCCACGCTGTAGACTGTGTTATCCAAACTTGGGGTTAGCAGTCTGTCTCTATTGAAGCCCAACCACTTCACATGGACTCCACCTGGCCCTGGAGATTGTAGGTTAGATAGTCTTACAGTTTCAAGGCCTCTTTGCCAACAAGACCTCTCAATGAGATCCCCGTGGTCGGGGTTAAACACGCTCGCCAACCATGGTTTCATTCCACACGATGGGCGCCAGATCACACTTGATATTGTCTAAAAGGGCTTCAAAAATGCAGTGAATATGGATGGAGGTTTATCTGGCGTAGCCTTCCAGCAAGCCCTGCCCTTGAACCCCGGCGCATCGTTATGGACTTCCCTGTTTTGCCACAGACCATGTAATAGAAGGATGGAACAGCTCAATGGATCTCGTCGCACAAGTTCCGCTCAAAAGCTCTCTGGGAATCACCTAGTAAAGTTTGGCTAACTTGTATCTCGTAGTTCATCAATCTGGATATGCTTAACAAGCACAACTTTATAGAGCACGACGGCAGTCTGTCCCGCCGCGACATGTACTTCGACCCATCCAACCGCTTTGACAAGGACACGTTCGACGCCTTCATGAACTACTTCGGCGACGCGGCCCAAATCAACGTTACCACCATCTCAAACGCCCAATCCAGACATGCGCTGGAGATGAGCCGGATAAATCCCAACTTCACGCTTCCGCAGTCCAAGATCCTGGGGGCAACGGGCGAGTCCGCCTTCATGCTCACAGTCTTTGGCTCTGCCGGAACTTCTGTGGCGGACAAATCATTCGTCGATTTATTTTTCCGTGAGTCCCAGCTTTCGATTTCGGACATCTTGAATATGAGCTGACTACCAAAGGCCACGAACGGCTCCCAGTCGAGCTTGGGTGGACTCCAGTCAACACCCCCATCACTCTTTCGACAGTAATCCAGATTGCGAACGACATTGCCTCGCAGACTCCTTCTGATGTACCTTTGACCTATGAACCAAAAGGCTAGCAGAAACGTCGGGACTTACATTCAGCCATATCTAACGTGCTGGAGGCCTGCGATCACCACACGTTTGCGTCTTGCCCTCCTCTACACCGTGCGTAGTTTTGCTCCGGAGAGGAGGATGAAGCTTGGCTGTTATCAACGTGTGGAATCTAGTTGATGAGCTTCAAGATTGTCCGATGCTCCACCTGGCGCTATGGAAGATTAGGTAAAGGATAAAGAGAACATGGACGAAAACACAATCACATTCTATATTCGAATTGTTCGAAGAGGGAACCTTCAGTCACTCTATGACCGACGATTTAGGCCCTGCTAGCTGCCTTCCCCCTCACCTTCAAATCAGTGTCTCCAGGTACACCGCCGGGTTGAAAATTGCACGCATGCATATGCCGCTATCACTAGCGCTTACCGGCGTGCAACGCTGACGCTGTCCTGCCGAGACGATCTAGTTCAGTCCGAACCGGCTCAATTCAAGTGTAATATACTCACTACAAGCCTCAAGGTTAACTCCATACGCACCTAGCAAATGTGTCATCTAACCGACATGCAAGACAAGGCCAGGATAGAGATTTCCGCTCCAATTCGCGAATCCATGTGCCTTTTTGCATCCTCGTTAGGTGAAGCGAAACACGTTTTCGCCTCTGGTTATGGTACCGATCTTATTCGCTTCGTACACTCGCGCCCCTGCCATTGACTGCAGATCGTCAGCGCTGTTCCTACTCGAGCGAGGTTACACATCTGCCAAGCGACTATGGAGTTTGACTCAAATACCTCACGCTTCCCTGGAGGATGTTGTTTGATTTCTCAAAGATCCGAGTTCTCGTCGGCGGCCTCACCATCACTCATTGTTGCACCAAGAACCCTGCCAACCGTACAACCATGCGTTTAATCAACGCCTTTACTTTGCTGTGTTTGGGGGCGAGAACAGCCCTCGCCTTTGAAGGTGACGAGCTTTCCGAAGTGCAAGCGGAGGCCATGAAAGCCCTTCAGGCCGCGGAAACTAACGGCACTTTTGGCAAGAGAGGAGACTGCAACCTCTCCAGCGCGCGAGTCCGGCGGGATTGGTATGATTCTGTAGTCAAACCAAACTTAACAGTCACTGAACACATACGCCACAGGAACTCGCTTTCAGGCGCCGAAAGGAAAGCCTACACGAGCGCCGTCAACTGCCTTCGGGCCAAGCCTTCCAAGCTCAGGGCCACCCTCGCGCCTGGTGCCCGCAACCGATACGATGACTTCGTTGCCGTCCACATTAACCAGACTCAGACCATCCACGCGACCGGAAACTTTCTCACATGGCACCGATACTTCATCTGGGCCTACGAGAATGCTCTGAGACAGGAGTGCGGCTACGATGGCTACCAGCCTGTAAGTAACTCCGGACGTATTACCGTGTTGAAAATTGGCAAGTTTCCATCGCGCTGACTGTCATGGTAGTACTGGAACTGGCTTGCCTACCGAGACGCCCCTTCAAAATCTCCAATGTTTGATGGAAGCGAAACTAGCTTAAGTGGCGATGGTGTTTTCAAGGCTCACAATGGCACCCTCGCGGGACGCGGCTTCGTCTACATCCCGAGCGGCGCCGGCGGCGGGTGCGTCACGAAGGGTCCGTTTGCCAAGTAGGTTTTCCCAGGCCGATGACGCCAACTTGGAGCCGCTCGCGACTAAAGATTGTTGACTGGTCCTTCATAGCATGACGGTCCACCTTGGCCCTGTCGTGCCGGGTATGGATGGCCTCACTGCTAACCCCGGTGGCCCGCTTGCCTACAATCCTCGCTGCCTCTCCAGGGATATCAGCGACTGGGCATCGCAGCGATGGATGACTCCGGTGAACCTTCTCAACCTGACCGTCGGTGCCGCCTCCGCGAACATCACCACGTTCCAAGACGAGCTGCAGGGCCGTTTCAGTGAAGGCTTCCTGGGTAAGGTCGACCCGGAATCGAAGACAAGCTGGCTTGTTTACTGACATGTTCCAGGAACGCACAGCTCGGGCCATATGATTTCCAACGGCGAGGGAACGGACTTTTATTCGTCCACCAACGAACCCATGTTCTACTTGCACCACGCCATGATCGACAAGCTGTACTGGATATGGCAGGCGCTGCATCTTGGGGAAGCTTTCACAATTGCTGGCACCATCACTTCTCGCAACGACCCTCCTAGCAGAGACGCTCGTCTTGATGATATCGTCATTCAAGAACCGCATGAGCCCAACCGGCCTATTAGCGATCTACTCAGTACTATTGGAGGCAGCCCTTTTTGCTACATCTATATTTAGGTTAGATTACGAAAAAGATACAAAGCTCAACACGAATTGACACAAAGGGGACTTCCGCTGTAATGTGGTGCCGTCAGTGGTTGTGTGAGCTTGAAATTAACGTTCCTTGTCGGGCTGAGAGCTCTTTCCATCAGCATCAACAATCTCACAAAGCCAAGAATTAGATGAACTCTGCAGATAGAGGTGATTGGCGTTGATGGGATAATACTTAGGAAGAGCACAACGTTCATTGTGCTCTGGCTAGCCAGGTTACGTGGTAAATTACGGGAATGTGGTCAAAGGTTCTAGTGAAGGGGAAAGAGCAAAAACCTGAATGAATGAACCAAAGGTCTAAAATGTATTGCTGTCGAATTTCTTTAGCCACTGACATCCAGATTCGAGTTCGAACCTAGTGCCGCAGTCAAAATGTGTGGAACACCCTGAGATATTGCTCTGCAGATGGGTTTGATCACGCGGCTTCAATCTTTATGTGAATCCAGTCGATACAGCAGACAGATTTCGTGTTGAATTTTGACGCGTAAGAGAAAAAGCAAAAAAGAAAGAAAGAAAAAAAAAGAAAGAAAGAAAAAAAATTGTGGTTGGGCTTCACCTTGAACTACTCGGCCTCCTCGACGTCGCCTTCCTTTGGCACAGGATGATATAGAGTTGCCTGTCCCATGATAAAGATGACAGTAGTGGCTAAAGCGACGACAGTGAATATCACGGCAACCTGTCATATGTCAGAGATCGATTCTGGGAGATTGACAGCAGCCATACCTTTCCATTGTCACCGAAGCCCACTCCTCTCACAATATCCTCGATCACGGCACTCCAGACGAGGAATACTATCCCCAACACCATGCACAGCACGGATCCCGACAGAAACAAAACTCCAAGCTGCCATACATAGGCCTGCATCTTCCGGGGCCGATACTTCCATTCGGTGCCAATGAGGACTCGATCTTTGGTGCCCAACGACTGTCTAATCAACATGAGACCGTCTCTGTGTCCCGCCATCCTGTGGAGCCGGATGGTTTGGTCTGCTGCTGTCAAGACGCTAGCAAGGGCGAAAGCGATGCCGCAGAACCAGCAAGTCCTAACAGTCCATGGTGTCGTGGTTTCTGGCGGCAGCAGGTTCGGCCACGAACCAGTCGAAGTCAGAACATTAGCGAGCAGAGCAGCCTATCCCCGCTGGTCAGCTGTGCCATTGTTGTCAATCATGGGTTTTGGGTTTTCGTCGGTGAGCGCGCACGTCCTTCAATCCGGGTACAGAACATACCACTACACCAACAAAGTTGAGTTCTTGTAACTTGTTGTCTTTCCACTTCTCTGTGAGCCTGTCTCTTTCACTCTCCTCGTCGTGGTTCAACAGCAAGAGCAGCGGGTCGTACGTCAACGTCGGCGGCGAGAAAAGCCCGCCACGGAAGATGTTGGAGACGAACGATGTTACGCCGCCACTCTTGTCCTGGAAGCTGCCGGAGGTTGGGCGCTGTCGGAACCGTTAGTTTGCTTCATAGTTTTCCTGAGAAGGGTCACACAATGGCGTTCTTTTGGATAGAAACGTACTATCCCGGCCCCTCCTACTTCTTGACGACTGCCAAGCAGCGGCGTCCTTGTTTGAGGATTCTCATCGGAGGACATGTTTATATAAACGGCTTGTGTGTTAAAAACAATGATTGAGTAGAGGACAGCTGCTTGTTCCAATGTACGGCCGTTGCAACTGTCCGAATGGCTGGTAACCAACCCCGCAATTGTCTTGCAATTAGGCGACACAATTGCCAGTAGCCTTTACGTCATGATGATATTTCCCTAACTTGAGGCGGTTTGGCGCATCGTATCGCTCATTACATAATCAGGCTCTGCTAATATCAATTATTACCAATCCAACATTTAGTATATTGACTTCTTAGGATGCTTTGAAAGGAATTATCCTTCCTACAAGCAAAATCCTCTTGTCAATCTGTGTTTTGTTTTGAAACTACGCGGTGCAGTGTCGAGGACGGGGCTGTGTGTAATCAGCTTGTTCGCCGAGTTAGCTGGCCCGAAATGTTGGATCCATCACTGGAACGCGAGCCTAATCAGTTTCACATCGAGTCTTATCACTTGATTGCTATGTCATTCAAATATCCCTACAATCCCTAGCCTATAATAAGCTCGATCAACTGACTTAAAATGACTTTCTTTCCTTCATACATTTGATTCTGCCCGGTCTACGAGCCTGCCCATCAGGTGGATATACATCTTGCAAAACAAAATCTGTTCTGAAATATACGATAAACATAGGAAAGTCCAAGTACTTCTTGCCCGTGAGGCAAACTTCCATTATGCAACTCAGTCTCGTACTCTATCTAGATCTATGTTCTTTGAGTATGCATCCCTATGAGTGCAATCAGACACAATCGTGATGAAGCAAATGACGGCCGCACATGTCTCCATCGCAAACACCAATACAGCATCGTTGACACCAGTCGGTCTTCTTGGCTGTTGTCCGGCTTCCACACCAGAAACACCAACTAGGCTTCGAACCTACCTGCAAAAGCATCCCCGAGAGCTCTTCGCGCGCAGGTCGACTCCTACTTCCGATGATGTCCTCGAGTACTTCGCTCCTGGACATGTCCCTCTCAAGCCTCGGTAGCCACTTGACCCACGGGATCCATTCCCCCGCCGTTCTGGCCCCCATAACGAGTAGCTCCCCAGCGATGTCTTTCCTGACGAAAACGAGGCTTTCTAGTCCACCGAGTACATCTTGGGCTTTGACGTCGTGGCCACGCTCTTCGGCTTGTTCAAGGATGAAGGCCCTGGGGGTGTGCCCAATGATTCTGCTCAGCATAGTGAGATTCCCCGAATGGCCAAGTCAATTGCAGCTATTGCTTGAATGAGGTCGGAAAGCGCAATTGGCTTCAGCGACTGGCTCTGCCACTTGCGAATGAAACGGCAGCGCGCCCTTCCAAAGACTCCAAACTTCTTTAGAAACTGTCCGCCAAACCCTATAGCTGTGCCATGAACACCAAGCGCCTTTCCGAAGAAGACAAGATCAGGGGGTGCTGTATCGTAATACTCTTCCCGTTTTCCCGTTGGAAAGAGAATGGCGCTCCACAGCGAATAGCGGTCAGGGTTTTGTCCACAGCTAGGAGCAGGTGTTCTTCCATACACATAGCACCCAGTCTTTCTAGCATGTTGGGGTCCATGACCCTTCCGTTGTATTGGTCTTCCACGATTTCGACTAGGATGCCAATGCATCCGTTCTTTCTGGCTTCATAGAGCTGCTCTCTTAATTCATCATCAGAGACTCCTTCGACATGCAGAAGGACAGTATTGTTTCTATAGGACTTTTGGGAACTAAAAAATCTAGGGGTCGACTTCTACAGTATATAAACTTAGTTGGTTGCTCTTTTGTTCCGACAAGGGACAATTCTGACTTACCCCTGAGCTGGCCCTGGAAGAAGTAGTCGCTGCAGCGTATGTGTGGGACAACAGTGCCCAACAAGGCTTCTTAATCTGAATATTTTCCCATCCCATTCTTTTCAAGGTGTCTTCCTCGTCGGTGAAGGGACTCTCGGACGGGTCTGATGATTCAGACATCGAAAGCTCTGAGAGAGTGAGGACCATCCTAACCACCACGTTGGGATCCATAATTCTGTTGCTCGAAGATGTGTAATCGACGGGGAAATACCCACTGAAGTACGTTCTGTTGAGTGAGCATCGGCTATTTCACCCCGTGGTTCTTTTGGCTCACTTACGCAAAGGTTTCTTCGTAGGATTGCAGCATCTGTCGGTAACGCTTCTCAAGGGCCATGCGGTTTCCAACAAATTCTTGCCAAAGCGGATTCGACATAGTCATAGACTGCATTCGGTCATATGAAAGAATAGTTCCTTCGGCATTGTTGAAATTGTGGTCTAGTGTTCGGACAGGAAGGCCCGCTGAGGCTGCCATGTTGTGACTCGGCAATGCTGACATTGTGACAGAGACGTTTACTACAGAATAAACGTAAAGCTTTTGCACCTAAGAGTCTGGACAACAAATAATGAAGTGTCTTTTGTAAGTGGTAGCATAGAAATGGAAGGCATTCGCGCCATTTAGATATCTAAGTTATAAGCTCAGTCTGGCTGACATTCCTTTGAGATCGTATGTGGTCAGGACAGCATAGGTCGAAGGCTTCACACCCTACTCGCGGGTTTGATATTGGATAACGTATGTCTGGCCATATATTATTGACTGGATTGCTGCTTCAGAGTGGCCTATGTACTTCTGTTGGTATCACAGGCTGGTTGACCAGAGGCAGCAAATAGCGTATATTACTATTAATGTGAAAGAGGTATAAAGGTTAATTAAGAAGTTTGAAGTTAGCAGTTGCTGTGGATATTTGTAGAGGTATAAGTGAGTAAGCCACTGAGGTTAGTCACGTGACCTTAGATTAGCTTTACCCTCCGCTAATAATAAATATTCTAACACTAGCAACTTTCTTATATAAAAAGAAATAGCTAAATAACCTAAAGACTACCTAGTAGCTAAAAAGCCTAAAAATATAATAAAAATTAAAGGCCTAAAAGTATTATAATACTTCTAGTTTATATAACCTATTATATAGTATATAAAACTTATCCTTTTATTCTAATCCTTATAGTCTTATTACTAACTAGCTACTCTAATACCTTATTTAGTAATAACTTTATAAATTTATTAGTAAAATTATTATTACCTTAGATTTATTAGACTTTATAGACTTTATACTACTTATATAACTACTATAGGGCTATAATATTTATTATAAGCCTCTTTTTTTTATTATACTTAACTTAATAAGGCACTTATAAAGTAAGTATAAGTTAGTATAAAGAATAGTTAGTATATAAGAAATCTTAAGGTAGTTAGTTATTATTACTAAGGTTATACTAATTATATAGGTAATATTAGTACTAGTAACTATACTATAGATCTCTAAGGCTAATATACTTTAGGTTACTTATTTATACTTTATTAAGCTAAAGTAAATAATATTACTAGTTACTATAAAGCTATTACTATTATTATTACTTATAATAGCTTTATTTACTAAAATAGAAATAAACCTTAGTTATAAAGTTAAATCTTTATTATTTATAAATAAATTATTAATAAAGATAAAGAGTTTTATAATATTAAGGTTAAAGAAGTAAAATAATAGTCCTTATTTAAGGTTATTTATTTACTAGATAATATACTAGTTAAGTACCTAAATCTTCTTTACACTAAGTAATTAGTATTATACTATAATAAAGTAGTTAAAGTAAGCTTTAAGTTAATAAACTAATATAATATATATACTATAGGCTTATTATTTAATATATTACTTTACTACTTATAAAGACTTCTTATTAATAGGCTAAAGTCTTTTACTTTAGCTTTTTTAGTAAAGTAATAGCTTATTATTTATAGTTAATAAGACTATACTACTATTAAGTATAAAGAGGTTATTACTAGTAAGAATCTACTTCTCTTTATTATAAGGTAACTAGGACTATAGGCTATAATAGCTATACTAGGTATAGCTAATAAGCTATAGAGACTACTAGGGCTAGGCATAGACTACTAGAGGTTATATAACTAAGAAAGGGTTTATAAAAGGATTTAAAGGTAAGGCTATAGAAGAAGGCCTACTATAGTTTTTTTTTCTTCTTTATCTTAGAATCTTTATTCTAGGTAATATAGTTATAAGTTATTTAACCTTAGTTATTACTACTATAATACTATTCTAAGATCTCTTTTTTATTTTCTAAAGATAAAAGATAATATTTTTCTTATACTATTAAGCCTTAACTAATAAGTACCCTTAAACCTTATTTATAATACTATTATATATTAGCTAATAATATACTTACTAATTAACTTCTTTTTTTTATTAAAGATAACCTAATCTATAAGTACTAGTAGTTTTACTACTTTTAATACTAAGACCTTTACTTTATAAAAGTTTTACTAGCTAACTACTATAGTACTTTTAGAAAAAATAAAAATAAAACCTTACTAAAGTCTTAGCTTTTAACCTTAATTACCTCCTTAAAGATATTAATACTAAAAACTTTTTTATATTTACTAACTAAGCTACTTATAGCTAATATATTAATAACCTAGTTAATAATATTACTACTTTTCTTTAGCTAAAAGATATTAGCTTATTTACTAATAAAAAAAAGTATAAATTTACCTAAGAGCTATTTAAAAGCTTTACTACTATAACCTAATTAACCTTTATAACTAAGTATACTAATAACTTACTATAAGACTTACTTAGTAATACTTAAAGCTTAAACTTAGCTTTATTATTATAGTATATACTAATAACTAAGAAGTTTTATTTACTAAGACTAAGGAACTTATTACTAACTATAAGAAGTATATTTCTATAATTACCTTACTAAAGACTAAACTCTAGAAGGTAAAAGACACTAACTTTACTTTAAATAATTAAATAGAACACCTAGAGTAATAATAGGCTAATAAAACCTAAGACTATATAGTTTT